TTTCCCCAATTAACAATTAACGCAAACTCTAACCAATCAGATCACTTCTTCGCTCTGTCCTCGTTCTCCCTACAAGGCCTACCCCTCGTGCCCTTTCGGTGGAGCTCTAAGCCGCTGCTGGGTTGGAGCTGCCAGACTCACACTGTGCTCTCTGCTCACGTAAGTGAGGGGACGCAGGGCCTTCCAGGCCTGTCCCAGCCCCAAGGTCCCATTGGGGTTCTCTGGAGTCCCTGATGCTTATTGTGGTGGGGCTGGATGGGAAGATGTGGAAGTCGCCCTGCTGCAGTCTGGGGCTGGTCCAGGACACACTCTCCAGGAAGGGCCGAGGGGAACAGCTGCCCTACCATCTGCTTAGAGAGCTTGCAGATGTCCAGGGACAGACACGCCCTCCTGCCCTCCCTAGGCCTGCACCCACGGGATGAAGCCTCGCCTCTGCTTCCCGTTGTGTCAGCTCAGACCGCAGAACCAGCACGGCTGTTTCTCTCTCACACCCTCCCTGCGGCTCTGGGCCATCGGCACAGATCAGGCCCATCCACAGCTCCAGGGCCCTGGCCTGAGACGACGTCTCCCGTAGGGTCCAGGGAAGCAGTTCCCCCAAGGCAGCCTCATTCCTGGTGGTCTTCACCCTAGCCCTTCCTCTACCTAGGCTCAAGCCATGACCAGGGGGAGCCCTCAGAGTGTCGCTGGGCACGTGCTCGGGGCTGTGATTTCCTGAGATGTAGCAGTGGGGCCCAGGGAAACAGCGAAGGCCTTGGTGAGGACCCTCTGTGGCAGCCCTGCCCCCCTCATCAGCGTCAATCAGGCTCGCCGTAGCTGGCTGTGCACAGTGCAGTGACGCGGCCATATGTCAGGGGGCATTACACAAATCCTAATGAGCTAAAAATATATCTATTTAGCTAATTGACCTCTCTGGCCTTCATAAACCTCTCGGTAAACACCCTCAGATAATGATGTCCAGGGAACGGGTTGTGGCTCTGCCCCCCACTTCCCCCCCACACATCACCCAGACACCCTCTCTGCTTCTGCTGAGGCAAACAGAGTCCTGCTTGCTGCCCACTGAGCCATGCAGGGGCTGGAGACAGCCCAGGGGCACCAGCCGGGCTAGTGCGGGGGGCTCTCCCTGGCTGAACGCCGTGGTCTGGGCTGCAGCTGCGTGTCTGCTCAATGGGGAAAACACTCACCCCAAGAGATCTGAGCAGAGCAGGGGCTCCAGGTCAGGCTCAAAGTAGCATTCTTGAGACTTGGGCAAGTCAGTGCCCCAGGAGCCATAGCACCTCCCTGAGAAGGAGCAGGAGCTGGGGTCGGAGAGCCCAGAGTGCACCTGGGACTGGCTCCTGCACTCTGCCGGGTGGGGATGATCCGACCTCTTCGGAGGCCGGGGGCTCCAGAGATCCCAGTGCCCCTACAGCTCAGTTCTCCTGCAAGCGAGGCTTCAGGCCAAGCCCTCAGCTAGTAGGGGTCTTCTTTAGCCACAAAAACAATGCATGATGGTCCCAGAGCTAACCTCACCTAAACTGCATTCTGGTCTCGTGGTAGCTGGAAGGTGGGCACACCCTCCTCCCACCACAACCCACGCTGAGGCCCACACACTTACTCCTCTCGTTAGAAAGCTGTGTAGGGGGCATGGCTATCCTTCGGGGACACTAGCAAGAGGGGAGAAGAAACTTCCCACCCAAAGACTGATGGCAACCTCAGACTCGACCTCTGCCCTCCCCAGCCAACTGTGGCCCACAGCCCCACCTGCCCTCACCTAAAGTGGTGGGCTTCAATTAGTAGGGAACTCTCTGGCCTGTTACGTGGGCCCTCCCTGTCCATGGGAGATGGTCCACTGCAAATTAATGACATGCAAAGCTCTAGTGTAAGCTGCCAGTTTGCCAAGCACAGGGCCCCACCTGTGACAGGACTCGGAAAATCCAGCAGGATGAGGCCTATTGTTTGCAGAGGGCACCGTAAGATAAGATGGAACACACCTTCCAGGTCAAATCATCCCAGTCCTGACCCCCAGCCCCCAAAGATGATGCGCCGGAATTAGACAGGATTAAAGGCTTACTGGGGCTGGAAGCCTCGCCACCACTCCTGAGGTTAACCCCAGACCTTCTGTCCGCCGACGGAGAAGGACGGGGAGGAGGGCAGGCATTCAGAGCAGGGCTTCCGTGCAGGAGCCAGGCCTCCTTCTGGAGTCCCACGATGAGAAAATGGATCCTGCTCCTGTCTGTGCTGCTGTGTGGCCTGACTGGCTCCACGCACCTGCTGCAGCCGAGCCTGGTGATGGACATGGCCAAGGTCCTCCTGGATAACTACTGCTTCCCAGAGAGCCTGATGGGGATGCAGGAAGCCATCGAACACGTCATGAACAGCCGCGAGATTCTGGGCATCTCAGACCCTCAGACGCTGGCCCACGTGCTGACAGCCGGGGTGCAGAGCTCCCTAAACGACCCTCGCCTGGTCATCTCCTATGAGCCCAGTGCCCTTGAGGCCCCCCAGCAAGCCCCCCCAGCATTCGACAGCCTCACCCAGGAGGAGCTGCTCACCCATCTGCAGGAGGGCATCCGCCATGAGGTCCTGGAGGGCAATGTGGGCTACCTGCGACTGGACGACCTCCCAAACCAGGAGGTGCTGAACCAGCTGGGGGCGTTCCTGGTGACCCACGTCTGGATGAAGCTCATGGGCACCTCGGCCTTGGTGCTGGACCTCCGACACTGCACCAGGGGCCACGTCTCCGGCATCCCCTACGTCATCTCCTACCTGCACCCGGGGAGCACGGTCCTGCACGTGGACACCATCTACAACCGCCCCTCCAACACCACCACGGAGCTCTGGACCTTGCCCCAGATCCCGGGAGAGAGGTACAGTGCCAACAAGGACGTGGTGGTCCTCACCAGCAGCCACACTGGGGGCGTGGCCGAGGACATCGCCTACATCCTCAAGCGCATGCGCAGGGCCATCGTGGTGGGCGAGCGCACCGTGGGGGGGGCCCTGGACCTTCAGAAGCTGAGGATCGGCCAGTCCGACTTCTACTTCACGGTGCCCGTGTCCAGGTCCCTAGGGCCCCTAGGTGGGGGCAGCCAGACCTGGGAGGGCAGCGGGGTCCTGCCCTGTGTGGGGACGCCCGCCGAGAAGGCCCTGGAGAAAGCCTTGGCCATCCTCACGCTGCGCCGAGCCCTGCCGGGCGTGGTGCACCGTCTGAAGGAGGCCCTGCAGGAATACTACACGCTGGTGGACCGCGTGCCCGCCCTGCTGCGCCACCTGGCCGGCATGGACTTCTCCGAGGTGGTCTCTGAGGAGGGCCTGGTCAGCAGGCTCAATGCTGGCCTGCAGGCAGTGTCCGAGGATCCCCGGCTGCTGGTGCGGGCAGTCAAGCCCAGAGAAGCCTCCGTGGAGCCTGAGGCCGGAGCTGACAATGCCCCAGGAGAGGCCCCGGTGTTACCCACAGACGAGGCCGCCCTGCAGGCCCTTGTGGACTCCGTGTTCCAGGTGTCTGTGCTGCCCGGCAACGTCGGCTACCTGCGCTTCGACATGTTTGCCGACGCCTCTGTGCTTGGGGTGCTGGCCCCATACTTCCTGCGCCAGGTGTGGGAGCCCCTGCAGGACACGGAGCACCTCATCATGGACCTGCGTCACAACCCAGGGGGGCCGTCCTCCTCCGTGCCCCTGCTGCTCTCCTACTTCCAGGGCCCCGAGGCCGGCCCAGTGCGCCTCTTCACCACCTACGACCGGTGCACCAACGTCACCCAGGAGCACTACAGCCTCACGGAGCTCCCGGGCCCACGCTATGGCACGCAGCGCGGGGTGTACCTGCTCACCAGCCACCGCACCGCCACGGCGGCCGAGGAGTTCGCCTTCCTCATGCAGTCCCTGGGCTGGGCCACCCTGGTGGGTGAGATCACCGCGGGCAGCCTGCTGCACACACGCACCGTGCCACTGCTGGACACGCCTGAGGGTGGCCTGGTGCTCACTGTGCCCGTGCTCACCTTCATCGACAACCATGGTGAGGGCTGGCTGGGCGGTGGCGTGGTGCCCGACGCCATCGTGCTGGCTGAGGAGGCCCTCGACAGAGCACGGGAGGTGCTGGAGTTCCACCGAAGCCTGGGGGCCTTGGTGGAGGGCACAGGGCGCCTGCTGGAGGCCCACTACGCGCGGCCGGAGGTGGTCGGGCAGACAAGTGCGCTGCTGAGAGCCAAGCTGGCCCAGGGGGCATACCGCACTGCGGTGGACCTGGAGTCACTGGCCTCCCAGCTCACGGCTGACCTGCAGGAAGTGTCCGAGGACCACCGCTTGCTGGTGTTCCACAGCCCCGGCGAGCTGGTGGCTGAGGAGGTTCCCCCCCCCCCCCCCCCCCTCCCCTCCCCCCACGAGCCATCCTACC